TCTTTAATGTAAAATTTAATCTATTTTTTATGTACATGATGCAACTTATTTATTTGAAATTATCATGGAAAAAATTATTCTTAATTTTTTAACTAAAAATGTTTAAACAAATAGTAATATTTTATGAACTAAAAGAAAATTAAGATATTGGCAACATGATAAATATGAGCAATTATAATATTTAAATAAGCGTAAAAACAACAAAGTAAATTGAACGATGATCATGATAAATAATCATCAATCACGATTTTTTAAATTTAGATCCGAAACAAGGATTGTAAGATCCGTTTATATAACGATGCCGACAGGATGTTAAAAAAATTAATTGAATAAGAAAATCGCATTATGTGTTACTTTTATCATGGGAGAGTTATTTATCCTTGAAACAACCATCTCGCTAAATTCCGATTTGATTACACCATAGAAACAGTTATTGCAATTACTGTGTGGGTAATTTTGTGTGCATATTGCAAATAGTTTAGTTGTAAAAGTAAACTTACCTGATTCTAATGACTAACATATATGTATATTTAAATCAATGCATAATACTTACCTGTTTTTACATAAATTTAAATAATGTACAATTTTGTATACATTTTAAATTGCATATTTCAAGTTGTAACGAAATCCGAGTTGTTTAACTATGGGTATATTTAAAAAAAAAACTAATGGGCTAATAAAAAATTATTGAATCACTTACTTGTTCTCGACAATATGTATCCTGGAAATATGAGATGTCTTCTCCATTAATGGTAATATTTCCAGTTCCGTTACCTATCACTTTAACGTCGCCATATGCCTTTTTTCTTTTACAATCTAAACAAATAATTTTACAATCGCGATATTAAATGTACTATACAAGTAACCTACAGTGCAATTAATGTTATTAAACCATTCATTTGCAATTATTCCTTAAATGTAATAAACTGCATTAGTCTGGACAACAGGATTACAATATTATGAAATTCAATAAAACTTTAATACTCTGGTAACATTAGTATTAACTCTTTGCTTTACTTACTTTTAAGTAAAATATAAGGTCTGTTGTTTTCATCATACTGGAACTGTAATAGCAAAAGAATATGTCAATTTGTTGGCATTAAAAAGTTAATAAATGGCACAATAAAGGGGATTTGAAATGAACTTACTTCTGGAAGGTCCAAGGTGCTGCTAATAGCTCTTAACTCGTTTCTATACTGCATGCACAAAGGAGCTGCATATTTTGATACTGGATGGTCAACCAGTCTTTGTATACTAGTTAAAAAGTATTCATACTGCAATAAACCAAAATATTTAATAAATACGGAGAAAAATGTTACAGTCACAAAATTAAATTACCTCTGTATCAGTGAGTTCTTCAAATAACCTGGATTCTAATTCATTTTTCTTAAACCATTCTGATGTCTCTAAATTGCTGGAAACAATAAAAAAAGAAAATTACAACATGAATAAAAAAAGAATTATAACAATTTAGAAAAATAATATAGCTTATTGTATATTATTCTAATACGATGAAATAGATGTAGCAAACAAAATTGGTATTTACACTTTATCTTCAGGGGTAGGTAGGTTCATAGCTTTAATTCTCTCATCTTCAATTTTATTTAACTCGTTCATAGATTCTGCAATTTTCTGTGCACAAAAATATTATATGCAATAATGTTTTATACATAATCCATTACCAACATGCTGACACATTATAAAACTTACGTGTAATACTTCATAATAGTTAGGTTTGGTAGTATAAAAGAGGAAGTGATGTGCTCTACCACTTTCATCAAATTCAGCTTCTTTTTTGCCTGCATACAGCTTACTAGGGTGAGCCAACATAGGACGAGCTTCTGGCTCATATAAACCAGATGGAAATAAATATTTTATTGCTCTCTGTAAACATAAATAAACTTAATACAATTTAATAATACTTGATCGAAAGAATAATAAGATACTAATTATGTATTATACATAAAATAAATGCAATTTACATCAGCATCTTTCTGAGAAAAATTATCAGGATCTTCACCCATCATATTTGCTAGATGTCTCATTCCAATATCATATTCCGCTATTTGTTTCTCTATGAATTCCTCTAAAATCAACATATAATTGTTCATTAATTTATCCTTACATTTGATTTAATAATATCATAAACTTAGATTATAATATATTTTAAACTTACTATAATCTTTAGCTTGCTGTAGATAAATTTTCATCGCTTTGGCAATTTTCTTATTTGATTGTTTACCAGAATCATCAACAGCAAGCACATCACTAGCTGTAGAATATGATCTAGGTAAAATGCTCTAAAATCATACAAATTACATTATTGCAAAGTTATAAAAATGAATTGATAATGGTTGAAATATTTATTGAATTAATTATAATTTTTAATTTTTAATTTACCAAACATTGAAAAACGCTCAACGCATTTCCAGTTGTACCGAAATTGTTAACATTCAGTACATTTCGTATATTTACAAAACGTGTAAACATTGTCACAGCCATCCTCATTAATTAATATAAACCAAAGCTTGTTACCAAGTATTATCCATACAATGATTAAAATCACTCATATATTAAAAGTGTATGTGAAACCTTTTATCATTCATTTTTTATTTTATATTTCACAGATTATTACAATTTATTTTTGTTCAATCAGCTGATTCCTTGCTACTGTTCCAGTCAGTTCCAGTCATAGATGGTCATAGACAAAGTATGTATAGACCGAGCATCCATTGTATAAGCGGTGATGCATACGATGAGAGAGAGAAAAATAATAAGAGGAGTTACTCTCTCTTTTCAATGCCGAAAAGATGGGGAAAGCCTCAATAGGGGAAACGACGAATCGGCGCGAGGAGATGATGAGAAGTGCTCCCCACTTCTTCGGCATTGAAAAGAGTTCACCAGAGTCCATAACTGCGAAAAGACCAATTTTCGTTCTTCGCGCATCTCCAGTACGCATCTTTGCCCTGATTGGCGATACTCCCAAACGAAGTGGAAAGCGATTAGCAGAGAGCTCGCTGCGTTCCCCCACCATCTTCCAACCTGCGCGTCGCAGTATGGACTCTGGTGAACTGCGTTATATGTGTACATACATACATATGCCGTGCATTTTGAAGCACTATTCGGTGTCACAACGCGTTTGCGCAGACGAAGTATGCTTAAGCCAATCAGAATTAACATGCGCAAAATGAACAAAAACTCGTCGCAGAGAGAACGATGGTCTTTTACAAAACGAATAATACAATAAATAAATTAATATTGAATTCATGTTTTATATAGCAACTGTATCATGGAATTTATTAATCTTAAAACGAACTATTTTATTTTGAATAAAATTTAAAAGAATACATATTACAAACCCGATAAAGGAAATAAACATTTTATTTATTTTCTATTTTTCACATATTACTATAAATATATGTCTTGCATTGAAATATTTTTTCATAGAACAATTTGAGACTTATAAGTAAAATTTGAAGTAATAAGTTTATTTGTTTATTTTTCTGTAGCATTTTTGCGACAATAGAATTCTATCTTGTGCGTGCTTGGGTTTATTTTTTTTACAAAATATAGCTGTCTTACCAAATTACATTTCTAATATATTATATTTCACATAGAACCGAATAAAAATGTAATACACAATGTCAAAAAGTGTATTAAAAAATTAATATGTACTATACAGCAAATTTATACTCCATTGTCAATTGATACATTCATCACACTCACACATAAATAAAAAAAGTTCATGGATAAGACTACCCATAATAATATTGCATACTTACAAAATTGTAAAATTTGAAATATTTTTGTATGTCCTTGACACAACATTCTTAAATTACTACAATATTAAATAATACAATTTATGAGTAGAGGCAAGTGATATACATTTTGTGTTACTTAAACTGTGATATGTTAAACATTTTTTAGGCATATATAAATTTACACTCAATCCTTTTCAAGTACGAAAATTTAAATATCGAATAGAAGTACAAAAAAAATGCAATCGCAACATTATGCATTTATAATATTATTTTGTTTCTAAATCACTTTTAATACTAATATCGTCAAAATTAATTACTATCGAAGCCTACTTTGCTCGATACTGTATATATGTTTCAATAGCATGTGTAATTAAATGCAATACAAAATTATCAGCCTTTTGGAATATGAAATGTTTTAAAACAATACAAAAATTTAATATAAAATTAGAAATTAACACAGTAGAAATAGGTATATTAAGTAATACCAAAGCATATAGTATTTTAAATGTATAACATAAAGTATTATAAATACATACAATATTGTATAAATGCATATAAAGATGTATACTTTTTCAGTTTTAAATATAAATAAATTAATATTTAATTGTTTTAAGTACAGAGCCGAATACTAAAATATTAAAACAAAAATTTTAAAGTATACTTTTAATGCTTGATCGGTCAAAAAATTAATTTATGAATTTAAATCAATAATTGCATGTAGTATATAAATTAAACAGTCTGCCATATAAATATGTTATAAAAATGTATTATTTTCTTATTTAAAATGTTTAATTTTAATTATTTTTCGTTTGTTACTGTTGCTAGCAAAATTATTGCTATGAGATTAAATGAATTAAAAATACATGATAAAAATATACGTATGTCAGTTAAGTGGTAAACGAGATACTAACATGGAATCTTTAATTAAAACGATAACGCTTAATACTTTACATTCTTAAAAATCGGTAGGAAATATTTGTTCCTTAAGCAATCTTGTGTATAATAGTCTTTGTTTTACTTATCTTTGTTTAAAACAATATACTAACTACTGAAATAAAATACCGAAAATGAATTTTCTTATTTATGTTATAAGTAAGGAGAAATTAAATAATTTCATTAAAGTGAGTTCACTACATTGGAAACTATGTTGTCATGTACGAAACTTTCTCCATTACAAAATATACTTTAGAAAACCTTTATCACTTTTATGAGTATTATATTCTGCATGCTTCAGTGTCATTTTTTGCTATAATTCACAATATAGATACACTATTACGTTATTTTTTTTCAGATATATACAATAAAAAAGTTATTGATATTTAGTAACTTTTGTATTCGTTAAGAATACAAATATCAGGCTGTAAATTATCTCTCCCACCCCTTGGAAAAAATACAAAAACTGAGCTATCTGTTTTAGGCTGTTAGACCGACGTTTCGGAATTTAGTCTTAATAAAAATTTGTTAGATTTAGGATGTGCGAGTTGTTCGGTAAGGTGAAAATGGGGTAAGTGGTATACTGTACATAGAAGCGCTACTTCACCTTGTCTTAATTGAAATTCGCAGCCATTAGCAAGCGGTCGCGAAGGTAATTCTCCCTCGCAGACTAAAGCCCAATGATGCGATCGTTTCTGCCTCTCTTTCTCATTTGATAAAACAGGACTGGTTACGAAGAAAGGTTCCAAAAATGCGCGTGGTGCTGCATCTTGAGCCAAACATCGTGCAAGTCTAGTTAAAATGGACTCAACAGAATGACGTGGTTGTTGTCGAGTAACCCTCAAGTATTTCTGCAGTGCTCTTGCCATAGATGGAAACACTGCTTGTGCAGCTTCCATAGGATCCATGGGACCTGAATTTGGAGTCGACTCAACTTCTGAGTGCAAACGTTTAATATGTGCAAATGCTTCTTCAGCGGCAGTGATTAGTCTTGCTCTGCGTTTTCTTACTCTACGTTCATAATCATGTTCTTCGTAAAATCGTTCATTGTGGCTAGAATCTCTACGACGAGTTTGAGTCGTTATTACTGCTCTATCACCGCTACCTCCTCGCGATTGAACACCACCAGTTACTCCTCCATCAACTTCATAAAATTTGAAGCTTGATTGTTTTCTACCAGATTTTGAAACTGGCAATCTTTCTAAATATGGATTATAAATGGGAAATTCCGTGTAATATCTTTCTAATACCCGAACTGCTGCTCGCTGTATTGATAATTGTCCAATTGCGTAAGATCGTGATTCGCCATCTGGCGACCTTACAACCTTAAATATTAATATTAATATTAATATATTGATAATAGATGTGGAAATATAAAAAGAATAATTATACGTACTTTAAGATAAAACATAGGTTGTTGGTGGCGAATTTCAATTAATAATATAGCAACATAATGAATAAAGAGTAGAGTATCTGCAAGAGTGCCAGCATAATTTACTAAATTTTTGTACTCTGTTATTTCACCATTAGCAGCTGTCTTAGCACTCTCTGTAACCTATAAATAACAAATTATATGTAATTATGCGTATATTAAGATGAAATTTCAAAATATTAAAAAAATATATACCTGAACAACATAGAATAGCCAATAAGTACAAATACATAATGTGGTGAGAAGCAATACACCTGCTCTGAATAAGAATATACGCGGCATGGTAGCATTTCTTGAACGTAAAAACACAGCCCAGCTTCCAATACCTAATAGCACCAACTTGAAAGCTAAACCTAACAACTGGCCTTTGCATTCAGCATTACATGACAGTAACTGTAGTTTTTGTTGCATTGTTAGAACAGTTGTAGAGTCAGGAAAAAATCCAAGTTTAGGCAGTATAACCATAGTTATTGGACTGAGAAAAGCACTCAGTCCAAGTATCATTGCTACAATAGGCCCCATAAATCGATTACAGGAACCAAAGGATCCCTCATTGTCACTTGGCCAATGACTAACATCTTCAGTTGATTCAGATCTATCAGATGTGTTTCCAGTAACCGCTGTAGTATTTTCACCCCAGTTTTCATCCTGAGGTAGAATCTGAACTTCTATAACTTCTTGACCTAAATTATCAACGCTATCACCTCTAACATTAACAGTTGTTTGAAAAGGTGCCATTTCAGTGGAGTCTAAATTATGTCTCTCTTTCTTCTGACTGCGATTGGTCCTTTGAAAAAATATTCATGTTAACAGAGATTTCTTACAAAACAATATTAATTAAATTATATAGTTTCCTAGGGCATTAAAATACCTGGTACTTCTGTGCGAGTGTTGTCTGTGATGAGATTTAGAACTATGAGTACGATGATGTTTTTGAGAAGTTCTGCTATGATGGCTATGGCTATGCTCGCTAGCCCCCGATTTTACGCTCTCCGTCTCCATTCCCCGACAAAGGCTACCTTCCTCCTGTTACCCCATAAGAACATACCTTCTTCCACTGATAACTAAACACCACGCACATGTGTATACATTTATACGTAATGTATTAATCGGAAAATTGAAACTATAAAGTTATAAAATGGTGCATCAGGCTCACAGAATTTTGCGGACATTTTCCATGTATGAAATCTTTTGTACCTTCAACATTTTAAGATAGGAAGTACATTTTTTAATACATTAGATTTCTATCATTGAAGAATATTGTAACAAAAATGTTTATCTAATGCAATTTTCTTTAAAGCATTATAAAACAGACGCCGACACGCCTAAAGTTTATATTATTCTCACCCTCTTGTTACCACATTCCGGAATAATCGTTAGGGAAAAAACAACATGATTTTCTAGGGATATATAATTTTTAGTAACTTCCAAAGGATATTTACTAGGGAAAAATAACAAAATTAAGAACTTGATTCAGTTGGTAACAATGAATCACTATTAGGGATTTTGTTGGTATAAAAACAGACCGATCTTGTCCTTTTCAGTGTATAACGTTGTTGCTAAAACACGTGGCGAACAATCTAATCATTGAATTTAAAGCAAAATACGAGCATAATCACGTAAGTAAACACACACAATAAAATATTCAGTATTGTGCTTCACGTGTACAATGAAAAAAATAATCAATTATCCCTAAATTTTGTTATATTAGTATCTACTTAACTGCTTCAAGTAGTACGCTCAGAGTGCACGATAGAAATTCTTTGAAAGTATATAAAGTATTATGTATATAACTATTGATATATTCTCTTAATTCCCTGATGTTATGTATAAAGTACGTTACATTAAACATAAGATTTACTGTAAGCATAGAAATTTTTGTATTGCGCGTTTATACGTAATGTACTCTAGAACTTGTCATCTGTTGCCTGATATAACGTAAACTTTTAACACGGCAGTTTCTTCTTTCTTAATTAAGTTTCTTGTGATTGACAAAAATATAAATAGCAAACTTATATCTAATTGTGTATAATTATTGAGTATATTCACTTGGATACTTTCAAAATATCAATCCTTAAATGAAAAGCACTTATTACAGAAGTGTTTTACATTAAGTTACCTGTTTTGTTTTAAACAGATGAAAACTATTAAAATATACAATTTATTTATATATTGTTTTATGGATGTTTTGTTGTAGCATGCCTCTTGCTAAAGATCTACTTCATCCAAGTCCAGCAGAAGAGAAGAGGAAGCACAAGTTAAAAAGGCTTGTACAGAAGCCGAACAGTTACTTTATGGATGTCAAATGCCCAGGATGTTATGCAATTAAAACAATCTTTTCGCATGCACAGAGATCAGTAGAGTGTGATGGTTGCCGAACGATATTGTGTACATCCACTGGTGGTAAAGCTCGGTTAACAGAAGGTTGCTCCTTTAGAAGAAAGGTTCAATGTTAATGTAACAATGATTAAAACAACATAATGTATCCATTTCTCTTTATATTAAATAAATAAAAAGAATTATTGTATAGGTTATTTGTATTTATTATATCTTACTAAAAGATGTTATTTTAAAACATTTATTTTCAATCCTTGTAGATTATCAAGTTAAAATATACGTCCGATTTCTGTAAATATTAAATGTACATACAAATAGATCCTTAGTATATCTTTATTTTGATTTACATCTACTTCATGATCAATTTAACAGTATATTAAATTTACCATAAGTTCATAACAAAATATAAACAAATGTTTGCAGTAATTTTTGATTAGATAAGTTATATGCAGAGTACATAAATAACTTATTTAAACAAATAGATCATAGTCATAAAATATAATATTACACAATTCCAATGTTGAATAATTGTTTAAGAATGTAGAATTGCATTGTAAGCTTGGAATATACCAGGTGCAACTTCCACAGAACGTGACTTCAGAGATAACTGTAATTGAGATATATTGAAAATTAAATCAAATGACGATATTTTATTCTCAAATTTAATTTTTGAACTTACCGTGACATCAGGATTTCCAGGTTGAATTTTTAATTCATTTAATACCCAAACGCCATTTGTTAATTTAAGAGATTGATACAACATATCTTGTCCTTCTACGTTTCTTTTAGCAATTGTGAATACATTATTTTGCTGCATTTTTTGTACAACTTGATCTGCAGTCAACAATACTCCTTTTAACGTGTACTGTACCTGAAACGTTTGTTTTAATAATTCTATTACTTGAAATATTATTAGGTATATTAATGATAATCTGAAACAAAAATGGCAACCTCGTTTTGAGCAGGTATTTCTTTCCATGTACTAAGGAATACTCTCTTATCTAATTGCCCATCTTCAGCAAAGTATACATTCATTGGAACAATACAAGCAAAATAAAATACATCAATATTATTTTTTATTGCAACTTGAAGATTATTTAAAGGTTCCATGCGTTGTACTGCACCAGCAGTAGATAAGATTACATTAGCTTCTACACTAGCACCAGGATTCAATGGAGTTGGTACTTGTAATGGAGCAGCTGGTGTTAAACCAAAACTATTCTTATTTAATTGTATAGCAAAACCTCCCATAGGTTGCATTGCTTTATTTGTAAATGTCATATCCATGCTAATCTGTCCATTTCTATTATAAAATAATTATTATATTATTATAAAGATCTTTATACCTTTTGCACCAACTACATCTATATAATAATATTACTTACTTGCGTGAAAATGTTCCCCATATATCAAATCCTTTACCTTTTTCGGCAGGTAACCAATTAACCTTTGGTGGTATATAAGCGGTAGGTCCTTGATTAAAACCAAATATATCACCAAGAAGTCCAGTAGTACTTTGTGACACAACAGGTGCATTACTTCCAGTATCAGTTCCTCCCAAAACTCCGTCTAAAACACCCCCTAGTAAATCCAAACCTAATCCTGCCTGAGGAGTTGGCGCTGGGGTAACCATAGCTGGACCTCCTAAACAATCAATATAATGAATAATGAAAATATTAACACATTGACTGTCACAATAATAATGGGCAAAATCGTTTACCAATATCCATACTAAGAAGATCGCCTATCAATGAATCTTGAGCAGGAATAACTTGAGCATGAGGTTGTGCTGCATGTTGAGCTGAATCCTCGTTCGAATTACTTCTGGCAGGCAATGATTTTCTAGCACCCGCTGCTCTACCTTCAACGAAAGCGGTAGGTGGTTTATGATATACCGATGCCAAACTTGAAATATGACATATCAATTCATCTAACAATGTTGGTTCTAACAAGTCTGTTTCTTCTGAAATAAGAGGTTTCTCAGCAAGTACAACTTCTTTAGCAGCTGCTGGATCAGTGCTAAGTAATCGCCAGTAAATAAATCCTCTGTCTCTTAAATCAGGATTATCGGAATCTTGAGTCGCTAAACTAAGCACTTGTTGAACTAATTCTTGAGTATCTGTAGGTCGTTTAAGGAATAGTTTAACAATTGCCGTAAGTAACTGTAACTGGACTTGAGTATTTTCATCGTGGAATCCCTCTAAGAAACTTTCAAGAAGTTCATCTGCATTGTCGATACGTTCAGCATATTCTCCAATAATCCATATCATTGACGCACGTGCTTCTGGTTCGTCGAGTGTATCCAAATTTTCGCAAAGGGTTGAAATAATACTTTCGTATTTATTTGGATATTTTCGAAAAATGTCTTTTATAACGACGATTGCTTCTTGAACAACGTAATTAACCTAATAAAATAAATAAATAAATATATATATATATATGTATATGTTGTTTATATAAATAATTAAATTTTTATTCTTATTTTACAATACCTTTGTTTGTATAAGGTCTAGAAGGGTTGAAACACAGCGTTCGGCTGAAGGTTCAACTTTGATGGCACAACGACCAATAGCTCTCACAGCTTTCCGTACAAAATCTACATCAACTTCTGTAGCATATTCTTTTAATTCAGACAAAACCTGGGCAATATTAGCTTGAGATGCCAAACGAATCATAATGTCCAATTTCTCGAGTTTCACATAAATTGGATCGTTGTACTTAACAAAAAATACTTTCATCTCGTGTTTTAAAATATCCGGGCGTTTTTGAACAATTAGATTTATATTTCGCAATGCTACGTACTGTACTTCGGGCTCAGAGCTGAGTAACGTTACAAGCGGTGGTGCTAATTTCTTTGTTAATGTGCCAACAAAATCGGATTCTGATTGCAACATTTCCATTAATTTCATCAGTACCTACGTATGAAAGACGTAGAAAGAAAATATTTTTAAAAAATCGAGTTAATTATTTATAGCCATTGATTTCTGCTTGATGTACAACCTTAACAGCAGATAGAACAACAGCAGCGTTAGCATGAGCTAAACGTGGAGTGATACGTTCACAGATACTCTGTGCTTCACGGTCGTCTTTAGGCGAATAATTCGCCAATGAATCTAAAATGAAAACTTGACCCCACTCTGTACATTCATTGAGAGCAGTTAATAATTTGTTAATGGTTTGCGCATTCATTTCAACTAAAGGCTGTCCGCTTGGACTTGCTTCATTAATTTCAGACAAAGCAGCTACTGCATTTGCAACAACCTAAATACAAATGTTTAATGAAGGAATAAGTAATAAATATTGTATAAATATTTAAATGATGAATAAGATTGAAATATTTACCATAGGATTACTGTCTGATAAAAGGTCTTTCAACTGATCTAAAAACCCTTGGTCCTCGACTAATGCTGCATTAATATCATAAAGCTTGGCCACGCAAACAGCTGCCGTCTTACGGACATACGGATCCTCATCCTTCAGACATTTTCGTAATGGTTCACAGAGGTATTCAGTAATCTTGTCCACGCGTATACAACCCATTGTGCGAACTGCTAATGCTCGAATCAGCGGATTTGGGTCCTCGCAATCCTGCGCAAAAATCGGGCAAGCCAGGGATTCAAGTCTAGTCACAGTAGTGGCTATCTATTTCAACCCATGAATTTTAACGAAGTAGAAAATGGTATGGTACCTTTGTCATCGGAGATGTCGCTAGCTCCTTTTGCGTGTCAGAACGAAAAAGGTCAAATTGGTCACCGTCACCATTTTGATTAATTGTTAAATATTATACTTATCAACCATTTAAAATAATATGATGCAGAACTGATCATTTTTTAAAGAGCACGAGATATTCATCTTACAATTTTGCTATTTATAGCTTTTATTAAAATGATAATTTATAGATTAAAATGAAATCAGTATTAACACAATTAGTTAGGTGCCATGCACGTATGTATATGTTACATGATACTTAATCAAACATTTACAAAGTGTACATCAAAGTTATGTACGATAACTGTGTCATAAATTTTTAACACTTATTACATTTATTAATTAACACGAAAGGTTTTCAAAGGAATAAAACACTTTACGTGCAAATAGTGAAAATATATATGCACTTCATACACGCAACAGTTTATGATGAAGTCATACATATAAAATGGATATTAAGGTAATTAGTACGTTCATGCTGTTTATATATTAAACATCATGACTAAAGTATAGATTTCGTTTGATTTTATCACCATAGCTGTTTTAAACAATTCTTTTATTTTAAGACCAATTATATAATTATTATAAAATTATAGCTGTGTTATTATTATACATCCTTCTACAAACTATTTAAATGTAAACAATATTTTTATGATTTATAGAAAAAGTTCCATGCTCACTTTTAGAAAACAGCATAAAGTATTAGTGCATTAATATTAAAAAAAAAAACTAACACATATGTTATTGGGCTTCTTGATGTGATTTTTTGAATAATTTTGCAAAATCTTATAACTGTCATAATTTCATTCCTATTTATAATGCTTAACTAAAAAGAAACACTGGAATTTGGTGGACATAATCCAAATGAATAAAAATGATCGATATAATATATAATATAAAACACAGAAGAATAAGTGATATATTATACACAGCCAAATTCCAGTCTCGTGCCCTTTAAAAAATAAGCAATTCAATAAGAGAAAGAAAATACATTCCGTCCCATAATGCAGACAGCTCTGTGCAAACTGATATAATTTGCAAAGCACGGTCTGTACATAGTGTGAGGCAGGCTGTAAAATTAACATTAAATTTATTTGAAAAGAAAAAGAAAATGTGAAACATAAGGAAACTAGCACAAAGTTTTTTTTTCCAGCTTGCCTCTTTGCAGACAGAAACTCTCAACATCATCCAAGTGTTATTAAAGAATATAAAGGATAAAAGTGCATTAATAAAGTATATAAATTTTTATTGAGTTACTAAGCTACATTACCTTAACAAATGTGTTGACAGCCATGATGGCCATATCTGGTTGACTCTTGGCATAATTCATCAGATACAAATACACCAATTTTTTAAGCTCTAAATTGTCTGTCTGCATACAGTTGACAACATCGGGGAAAAGTGCAGATACATCTTTGCCCACAGTCATGGAAGCAATTACCTACGAATAATTAATATTACATTTAAGCAACTAATTAATAATTAATCTATTTCTTTTATAATAATAACTATAGATAAAGAAAAATAGTTACAATTAAAGTAAATTATCATTTAAGTAAATTATGTTAATGTAATGATTGTAAATTATGTATTCAAAGAATAATTTAAAAAATATAATAAATAAGTAATGATAATATCAAAATTTGTTGCTTTTAACAAATTTATTATGAGTTTTCATTTATCCAGCTTTTGAGCAGCATGAAACAGATTTATTGATTTGGTATTTAGAAAATGTAAATTCTTATAAATAGTAATACTGCTGTACAATAAATATTAATAATAAACAAAATAGAATATATCAGATTGAGAAAATCATAGAATTCATGATTTATATAGCTTACCTTTGGTAAGAAAAATCATTACCTTTTAAAATCAGATTTTTGCTACATAAAACTATAATGATTGTTTACTGATGAAAAATAGGAATGTCTCAGCATTAAAAATAAATTATTACATGCTTTATTAATATATTTTACATAAAACATGTAATAACTGCTATTTATTAATAAATCAACTCACTTTTTTTACAGCTTCCTTCTTCTTTTCCTTTTTGTCATTATTTAATTCAGATTTAAGTTCAAATATTTCTCCTTTCTTTGTAGTGGTGAAATATTTTGAATCTGTCATTTTGAATTTTGTATTTTATTAAAGCCTAATGTAAGTATTTTAATTCACACCCTGCAAAATATAATTACATATTACGAGTGTACTAGTATCCCGTGTAGTAAAATTGAATAAGATTTCGTTATATATAGCAAATCGTGAATGGATCAATGTTCAGAATATATAGTATCGTTCTACTAACACCAATGAAAATATGAAACATTAAGGAATTCTTCAAACTTGAATAATAAATAAAAGTACGTTTTATACTCTAAAAAATAAAATAATATTAAAATATCTAAAACATAGCGGAATAAGTATGATAATTAAAAGTATTAATGCAGGAGAACATTTTACATATTCATGTCGTATAACTATCGTATCTTAACCGTTGATATTTATACTAACTAAAACAATCTACTAAAAATTTTACTTAACAATATTTTACTTTGCGATATCTTGGCTGTTGTAAACAGTTAGAAAGTTTAAAAAACGATCAATTGACAGCACATTGACAGATCTTAACGCAAAACGCCCTCCAACCACAGACTGGACCACCCCTTATATCATAGACCTAGAAATATATAGAAATGAGATAAGCTTGTATGTATGCTTGTATTAAAAACCTTTAGAAATAAACCTTATTCCTAGGGTGCAGTAGCATTGTGGTAGCGCCCAAAATGCCCACGGTCACATAAATTCCCTAGTCTCCATTTGCTTTGTTGCGCGTCTTTGTGATTCTAGGGATTTTTCAAATTCAAGGAACGTGGGTAAGCCGCCCGTGAATTGAAAATAAATGTTTTACACGAGTACTTCTCTTGAGCGTTTACAAAGAACAAAGGACAAAATTTTCTGGAAGGATCCCCTATTTATAGCTGCTGACACCTGCTGATCGTTAAGTAAATTTAGTCCTTGATAAACATTTTGATAACGATAAGCCGATTTTTTTCTACTAAGCGAGCTACTGATAAGGAATCCTTGATAACAATTTGATAACACAATATATTGATTTTCTTTTATAATTCAAATTTAACGCGCTTCAGTTTCTTCATTCAACTTTCTTTACAAGCTAGTTCATAGTTTATACAGCCTGGTTCACAATACGTTTCGCATCTATACCGCAGTTCACCAGAGTCCATAACTGCGACGCTCAGGTTGGAAGATGGTGGGGGAACGCAGCGAGCTCTCTGCTAATCGCTTTCCACTTCGTTTGAGAGTATCGCCAATCAGGGCGAAGATGCGTACTGGAGATGCGCGAGGAACGAAAACTGGTCTTCGCAGTTATGGACTCTGGTGAACTGCGGTATATATTCTCTTAAACCGGGGAGGATCGCAACAGCTTGTAAAAATGGCGGGAGAAACGAGAATGAAATTTTCTTTTCATAAAAAATTATTAAAACAATTAAAAGATAACTGCACTTATTTAAACAAATGTAAATGTATAAATAGTTATTAAAAAAATTTCAATCTTTATTTTTAAATATTTACTTAATTTTTACAACGATATTAACAAAGTATTAAATAAACTGTGATAGTATGTAACTTTTGCGGCTTTCATTTGAGTTGTAACTTTTCATTAAGTTAAAAAAATGATTTGCTAAAAAAATTGAAGTGCAATGTACATAACAAACGTAAGAAAATGATAATGCATTTCGCAAGCAAATATTACAAATGTAGAAGCAATTACAACTAAAAATTAATAGTATACAAGAGTTTTTCAATTTTAGTTTTACTGATAAGCGTAGCAGAGTTATTAAACAAATATTACATGAGATTTCAAAAGAACATGACTTCTCGTATCCGTTCACGTTCGTTCATTCTTTGTAACAAGCAAAGTAGCTACTTATCCGGTTATAATTGTAATTATACTAACAATAATATCGTAGTAATTTTCAGAATAGATGATTTCATTTAACATTTTAATATAGTTTACGCTCTATTTGTATGCATTTAAAATTAAAAACATAATACAAAAAATAAAAAAACTTTTAACGTTTAATTGAGTATCTTCTGATCTTTCATCTTCCAGTTGAAATAACTCAAATTTAACGTATGTAATTATACAATTACAATATACATTTATATAATAATGCTACGTCAAAGATATGAGTACATCACATTCAATTTATGATACTGTTTTCAATCCAACAATTGTTGGATTTAAAAATATTTAAAGCAATGTTACTGCAGTCTATAATACGTACTACTAGTAAACTATACAATAGTATGTAACAAAATTAAAATCTGTTTTAATCTATCAGTCACTTGCATAATTTAAATTAGAGTTATAATCAAGCTATTGTAAGCACGCTTGAACTTTTTCAATCCATTCTTGTGCAGTTGCTGCATCACCAGCACAAAAATTATATGTTCGTCTGTTTGTACGAAGCTGTAAATATAATCATTAATATAATATGAAACACTTTTTCAATAAATAAATAATATAAAATGATTTTATATTTACATCAAAGAACGATTTATCATCTGTTTTCTTTGGTGGCCCTGGCATTGGTTGAGCTGGAGTTACAGATACTACTTCGGCTAAATCTGTAACACAGAGAACATTGATGAATATTTATAAATTTTTTATACACTTATATGATTTTTAATAACTTCTTACACACCAATATATCCTTTACAATGAGAATCTTCCATTGCATCATAATATCTTAATTGATGTTTTATAGAATCTAACACAAACCATCTTTGTTTCCAACCTTTAAGTAGAGCACCTCGTTTATAAAGGTAGCCTTCATGTGTTCTATTTTCAGCAACATTACTAGAGAATTGTTCATAATATTGTTGCGAAGAAGTTTGTATTGTAGCGACACCTGTATTAAATGATAAAAATTCATGGTATTAATAAGCGACTGAAATTTATAAACCAAAAATTATATTAATATATAACATAACATCCATACTTGAATTTACACTTCCATTGTCACCGCCGCTTCGTGTAAGCGTGTGAGTTTGTAAATTATCAGTTACTGCCTTATATTTTGTACAATTTTTTGGTACTGCATCAGCACACTTATCGTGACATACATGACCACAATCAACACATCGCAAACCGGCTTTTACAGGACCCCATAATACACCAGAGCAGGCATCGCAATGAGTCGGCGTTGCTGAATCTAATCTCTCGAACCTAGAATAATATCAATAGATTTATGAATATTTATTTACTAATTCATTATAAGAAACTTAACTATGAAAAATACCTATGAGGATGTGCATAAACGGAACCATCATTTCCAGAAGTATTACCACCAGCGAGTTTACCTCTCAAAAGTAATTCTAATGTTGAACGTTTATGAATCAACCGACCATGATATCTAACTAATGCAGTACTGAATGAAGCATGTCGCTATATAAAAAATAAATACATGTTAAATTGTGAATAAAATTGTATTTTAAAAAACTTGATATATACTATATACTAACAGCAAGTGAATCTGTATTTGGCAATTCAAGTTTATCCCAAAGAACTTTCCACTTTTGTGGTAAATGACCTAATTCAGTTTCCAATTTATGAATCTCTTCCAGAAGATGGGAAAATTGATCGGGTACCATTGAACTCACACCGTCATACCTATCGTACAAAATAATGTCAATAAAAAAAAATGTCAATAAAGTAAGTTAAATGAATGTAGTCACAGTCATACCCTTGTGTAACCACTTTGCGATTACTTTTCACCACACCATCAGCAGCTTCTGCTTCCTCCTCTTGTTGCGAGTCTTGTTGCAATACTTCTAAGTCATATGCAGGCCCGTGAGCCAATTCTTCTTCTAAATAGTATTGCCAAATATCGAGACTTGATAAATGTGAAACAGGCCTTAATACCGTATTTTCAGTATTAGGCGTGTACATGAAATTATAGAACAAGGGACACCTTGCATGTTGTTTCTCGATATAATCAAATATGCTTTGACCAAGGTTACATCCTTGATTAGTTCCTGCTAATCTACCTCCAGGGTAAATTGTTTCATCGTCGCTACCTGTGTCAACACCTTTGTGATGGCTTGTCAGTGATCCTCTTTTGTCTTCTACGGCAGTAATGCCACATTCTACTCTATCAAACTCACAGTCTAATAAAAACGTACGAAAACGGCAAGAAACCGAATGATATGCCAAAAATTTTAAGTAATATTCGTTAAATTCAAACGCTAATGGGAATTGTTTTTGAATTTGATGCACTATATCTAGGAACTGAAGAAAGGTAGGAGTAAAGTTTGTAGTTTGTGAGTTCGCTGCAAGATTACTACGGTGTCCAAATCTATGACCAAATCCAAGCCATTCTTTTTCGATCAAAATTCGAAAACCTTCAATAGTTCTATACTGAGGATCAAGACATACTTGAGCAACAGAACATACTGTTGCTGTGGTATCCCAACCCTCCTCTAAACAAACAGCCACCGATGATCCTTGTACGTCCATTAAGTCTATAACAGCTCCAGCTAATTGCATTAAATTCTGAAGCTGCTGTAACCATTCTGAACTTTCGATTAATCTAAAATGATAAATGTTATCTGTGAGAAAATTTTATAATAAGTAAAATGACATTCGTTTAGATAAATTACACATACTTATAAAAACTTTGGTCAGGCTCTACATTCGGAGAGCTAGGAACACAGGCTCGCATAAGTTTTTTAAATGCAGCTTTGGTATGTCTTACATCATAGTATTCCACTGGAATGAAATCTGTTTTCGGTGCAGATTCCGCTTTAACACCCTTTTCCATTAAAAAAGAAATTATAACATTGATTATATATTTAGAATAATGTAAAAATTAGTCATCTTACTTTCATATGTGCTTTTTCACCCAGGATGTATAATGCGGCACGTTGAAATGTATGAACACATTCAGTACCACTATCCGAATCTGTAGAATGTCTCACAGTTCCACGTTGGTGAACTGAAGTTAAAGAAGCTTGAGAATTATGTCTTTTATCTTTTAACGAACCCCAGCGACCAAAGTTCTTTGGGCCCTTACCTCCTGATGAACTATAAAAAAATGTGTAATATATTTAATTAAATTTTCTTACATATTCTGTAGAATGTGAAATACTATAAAATCAAAACCTATGTACCTCAATGTTCCAATTGCTTTATTAAATGGATTTCGCCGCGACTGTTCAGGCGTCGCATTACGATCTTCAGCCGCTAACAATAAAGAATCAATACTGAGAGAACTGTCAGACATTCCCCATGCAGAACCTTGCCTTATCGCGGATAACGGAGTTGCAGCTACAAGAGCCATAATATACTTTTCTTGTTCTAGAGAAGATGTCGTTTCCGAAGATGTTGCTACGAATAAAATAAATAATTTAATATATTAAAAAAGAAAAATAAGAATATAAAAATAATTATTACTTTTTAAGTTACCAGCAGATGCTGGATGAGCTTTTAGCATGCCCATAACACCCTTTCCATGATAACCTGCTCCTCTAATTAAAAGTGCTTTCGTTCTTGGATGTCTCCATGTGACGATAGGTATTCTATTATGTCTATAAAGCCGACAAAATCTACGAATACTTTCATCTGATACTGACGAAGGAACTATAAGTAGCGCGGGATAACTTCTACAAATCATGTAGGCACAATTCACAGACGACAATCGAAATGGTTCGTTTCTACGATTATTGTGGGGTCCATTTGAATATAATCCCAGTCGATACCAATCTCTAACGTAACTACGTTCTGATAATCGTTCTAATGTTTTTGCATCAGTCGGTGGTTGAGTTACAATACCAGGAATCTCAAAATCATCTACTGCAAAGATGTCACTTAAATACACTTAAAATGGAAAAACAATTTATTCAATTAACTTACCACTGAGATCATCATCGTGACTCAAGTCATTGTTATCTGTTACTGGTAAACTCATTCGACCAGGTGATGTCATGTATTTATTATTAGTAATGATATTCATATTTGGCAAGACGTACTTTTGTCTTTTAGATGACTGTTTTGGCTTAAAACCTGCCTTACGTGCAGTTTTTAAAAGTGTTTTCTTTGCGAATCCCCTAAAAAATAGAATAATTTTATAATAATCACAGATGAATAGAATAATATTCAAATAAAAGATAACTTACTTAAGAGTGGCATTCTTTTCTTTTCCTTTATGGTGCGCCGTCTGAGTAACCAACACCTGACCATTGAAAGCGAAATGATGGAAGATGTGTGGTGGATAGCGAGCTTTATGAACTAATTTTCGTAAAGTTTCAATATTTTCAGGTGTAACCTCTTCATCGAAAGCTAATTTTATTAATTGAAAAGTACAAGAACGTAATTGTAATCCTTCCTGTAAACACTGATCTAAATGTGCTAAATGTTGTACAGCGACACGCTTTTCTTTAGTTAATGACGTTACAGGGAAAGCTCGAACCACTAACTGTTCGCAAGCAAATGGATCACAAGGGATTCCTTTAAATACGATTCTGTAATTAGTAAGAAAAATAGCCCCTTCGGCTGGCAAGAGCGGTGGTATCTTTGGCAATCCTGCAGAACTTTCTTCTCTTCCATCCGGTAAAAGATAAACGCGTAAACCGTCCATAATAACTTCTTCACCGGGCAACATGTTGGGTGTTAAAATTTTCGGTTTCTGTATCGGTGGTAATCTCTTACTTTCTCTATGTACAGCCTCGAGGGTTTCGATGTGCATATGAACAACGCCAGGAACCATTTGATGTAAACATCTAACATGTTCAGCACTTACACCCCCTTCGGTACAAACACGGTCTACAAATCTTGAAACCATCCGAATAACCGCGCTACCAGTTTCTCCGGGATCAGTTTCTTCAAATCCAGACTCTGCATCGCCACTGTCGCTTGCTACACTATTTGTAATACTATTACTTGCTCTTTCGTCGTCATAAACATTATCCTGACGGTGAGTCTTTGCTCCTATATCCAACGGGACCAATAAGTAAACCATTCTATTCGCATAATGAATTGCTTGGCTATACATAGTACTCTCTTCGCTTGCTATGAGTTCCTTTTGTTTTTCTGCGTCAATCGTCGGCCAAATCCTCATTTGTTCAGCAGCTATTTCAAGGGCCGATGGTTCTTGAATTTGATAAATCGAGTATCGATCACGAAATGGAAATTCTTTACCGTCGCGTGGGCTAATAGGACTTAGAATACCATCGTTTATGAGCCGTGGTGGAGAATTCTCACCAGGAAGATATAATCGTTTAATGTCCTTCTGAACGTCCAAATAGAAAGCATCTTCCCAAAATTGTTGATTTTGCCACACAGGATGTTCTTGAATACAAGTATAAGCAAACTGTATTACTCCTGTACAAAGTTTCCTGCAAAATGCTGTTGCAAGAGGAAGAAGCGCAGCAGCAACACCATGTTCGTCCATGGACGAATCATCTTGCAACGCACAATTCATCAATCGTACAACTAGATCAAATTGTTGATGTTCTAACATAGCCTTATTTCCAACAACGTGCTGCGATAATTCCATGCAAAGTGCTAAACGAGCAGCTTTGCTTTTCAAAGCTCTTAAGACGGCCGGGAAAGTTTTACGAGCATCGGATATCTTATTTTCAAATATACAATTTATACAATTACGTAGAACTTCGAGTCTACGTGCAGAATTGCTAACCAAATGTCTAGTGTCATGGACAAATGAAATGTGTGGACCCATTGGTACAATGCGAGGTTGTGATGGTCTTAATGATGATAATCTGTATACAAAAAAGGCAGATATAAAATTTGGAATTATAATATATGGGTAAAAACTTGTAAAATGTGTCTGTAATACGAACCTGACTTTAAGATTATTTTTTGCAAGACCTTCATCTATAATCGCTTGAACTTGTTCTGAATTAATGCGTGGTAAAAGTGGCTGGTGTATTCTGGCAAATGCTCCTTCAGGTGGTTTCAAAATTTTTTGTACGTACGGCTGAGGATTTGGATTTTCGTTTGTATATAATTGTTGTGCTAATTCTTGAATATGCGTTAAAATGAGTCCTAACAACAATATACGGGACATCAATAATGTTTTATATCGGCTGTTACAAAAAGACTGTACAATTTCTAAATATTTTATTACTGTGTACTATATTATTATTACTTACTATTATCTTGTGCTTCTTGTTTTAATTGATCGCTCAAGTTATTGTATAATTCATCCCATACATCGCAAGGTCTCCAAGGTGGTCCCCTTTCTGCAATAAATGAAGTAAAAAACATGCAATCCAACACTCTAGTTGTAAAATCACAATCCGTTAAACCACGTTCTCCTAAGAATGCTGCCTAGAAATAAAAAGTATCATATCTGTATTACTATTTTATCTGCAATCATATAAATAACATCAGTAACATATAACAACCTTATGAAATGTTATAACAGGTTTTGGATGAATTCTTATTAATGTCAGACAACTTCTGTACCCTTGCAACAATTGAGCAAAGGTTCGCATAAAAACTGCTCTTAACTCCTTGTCTAACATAGGTGAATGTGGGGCTCGTGTTGCAAGCGGTGGAAAAGCATAATCTGCACAAGATAATTCTGGTTGCAATACTAAAGACAATGCATCTTGTGTTTGCGAAAGAAGTGGTTCAGGAAGGAGTGGAAGTGAAACTCCATCTGGAACCATTATAGACCCTCCATCTAAATCAGCAACAATTACATCCATCTATAAAAAAAAAAATATGATATTTATTAAAAATCACTATGATATATAAAATTACAAGAACTATATTGAATATCTTACAAGTTCTGCAACTTCATATTTTAGTGAACTGTGTACACCCATAATAAATGGAGTAGGTGTACTGAGTACTTCCACTAAAGCTGCTGGTAAGAGAGGAATGTAAACATGCGTATATCTAAATGGATACATTAGTGCAGTAAGAGCACGACATCCTTCGGTTAATCGTGAGTAACTTGCAGAATGAAAGAGTATTTTGTGTTCTGTCATGACAGCACAAAATAATACTAATACATTACGAATACCTGTAAAACAAGTTTACATTAATTGAAAAGATTACAAAATGAACATATGTATTTATAATATCCTTACCTAATTGTTGAAATAAAAGGTTTACACTACTATGAGTAATTGGAAGAGAAGGACTGATTGGAGGTTGAAGTGCTTGACGGTCACCTGCACCAATGCTAAACCTTACTTGTGGTCCACCAGCGGGTGGTACTTGTATACAACCTAATATGTTTCCTACCAAAGTTTCTAATGGTATACCAAGATTTTCTACGTACACTGTGTATATAATACCAAGGCAATTCTAAAGCAATAATATTAACATCTTATTGTTGCATCCAAAAATAAAACTGTACCATTAACATTGATAGCATTTTACATACTCTAAATGTTTCAATGTAATCAAGTCTGGAAACCAGCACCAGACATTTAGGTGCATACATGATGCTGTGATGTGTAATTGTTGGCATTGTTCTGACCAAAGAACGACTATCACCATCTACAGGATCTTCTTCTTCATCTACAGGCTTACTTGGCACAATAGATATAGTTTCATTAAAACACATGCATGCACAGTAATGACGGTTTGCATCGATGTCAGTTAAAATGGATACAAAAAACCTTGGCTCTTGTCTTTCTGTTGATAAGGCCCATCCTTGTGGTTGACAAAACTATAAAATAATATATAATTAGATGAAAAAATGAGAAATTTAACAGCCACATCTTACCCATTCTATTCCTTCTATAAATGGTGTATCTGGCCAATCTTTCTCAGGGAATCTTTGTAAAATGATTCCATTACTTATACCACCTCCTATAATAAGATACAATATTACATGTATGATGAATGACAAATAATAAGAGTTAATATCTCAATTAAAAAATCTGAATAAAATATTTTATTATAATAAACAGCTTTTGTACATAGACAATTAAATATTATACATAAATTTTAATCTACATGTAGATTCTTTTACAAACGTTTTTTCATATAAAATATTTGTAAATATGTATCAACAACATTAATATGTTCTTAAAGAGTAAGCATTGGATAATAGGTGAAAACTTACTCTCTTTTTCGTGGTCGTAGCCGACCACAACAAAGTAGTCGGCTAATCGAGACATTTCGGTATACTCGTGGGAGCTCGTGGGGGTGATAGCGCCCAACATCCCACGTAGACTTTAATACACGTGATTTCATGGACCGTATCCTATCAAGTAACAATCAACTACCTTGTGCCAATGTTACACATAAATACGTGTCAATATGCAAATTAATTGAAAAATATCATAGACATGTTTAAATGTATATTATTTCATTTAAGCATTAATCAGATCATAAAATGTACGGTTAAAAGTGCAATATCGTCTGGAATATATTAAATCAATTTTTGTTTTGTTTGATGTACAAATTTCCAGGCAGTGGTTGAAATTTTTAAGACACCACCTACACCGTTGAAATAGGATTTCTTGGCCTCGTCGCATTCAGAAAACAAGTTTGTTCGTCATTATACAGGAATACAATATTCCATTTATTTTATAAATCGCAATATGATGCCACACCCCGAAGCTTCAATCCATAACCTTCCAAGTTCAAGCGCCACATTGGGTGTTTGTTGAACCGCGTATGAACCAAAACGCGCCACAGATATACAAACGAAGAGACGGACGCGTTATAATTCTCATTTAATTTTATTTTTTTTTTGTTTGTCTTCTGCTTGGGTCACTGAGAATATCCTAAAACTAAAAACATATATGTTTCTATAGATGTTACTCTTCGATGTAACTTTATAGTGTGTTCATATTGAAATTATTGCATAATTGCTGTGAGTGCAATATTTGTCAGTATGTACCGCATATTATTTAAAACTATGATCGAATTTTAAAACTTTCTATACGAATAAAATTAAACGTGTATACGAATAAAAATTTCTTATAAAATCAATTTAATATTTTCACGTTTCATTGAACGCTCTTATAAAGATATACATCACCTCATTTATATCTGAACGAATAGTCGAAGTTTCCTACGCCAATGTTATGAAAGTATCCGACCATTGACGAATGAAACCGAATAGCTAGCGGCAGTGAGCGGCAGGCAGCGCAAGGTAGCGGTAGGCAGTGGAAGGTTAATTCAAAGTTTTCTTCTATATCAATAGTATTTTGCACGAGAAAATTATGAGTTCTCATAAAATGACTGTCTCTGAAATACTTTTAGAAAGTTTTGACAGTTTTTCAGATGCAACAGTTGGTTTTGTTATTGCAGCAGTACTAGGTTATTGTTTATATAAAATAACAACATTGCGAGATTTAAAGGCTTCTAATGATTCTAATAAATCTTCAGATAACATAGTAAGAACAACTAAAATTCTTATACTTGCATTTATTTATAACTAATACAGTATAATAAAAATAATATTACATTTTTTTCTAAACAGGTGTACACAGATGAATATGATAATTATAAGCTTATTTTAGTAATTAGAACTGACTTAAAGATGGGTAAAGGAAAAGTAGCAGCACAATGTGCTCATGCCGCTGTTGCAGCTTATAAAGCAGCCAAAAAGTATCCCAAAATCCTTCAAGCTTGGGAAGAATGTGGGCAAGCTAAAATTACTGTCAAAGTATATCAGTTTGTTATTGATATAGTGTAATAAAATTATAATTTAAAATGTTACATTCAATAATTTACTTGATAAAATGTTTAGGTGGACAGTGAAGAGGCACTAAAAGAAGTAGCAAAGCATGCTAGAGCTGTTGGACTTTTAGCAAATACAATACAAGATGCTGGACGCACACAAATAGAACCAGGAAGCAAAACAGTGTGCGCAGTTGGTCCAGGACCAGCCCCATTGATAGATGAAGTAACTGGACACTTAAAATTGTTCTAATTTTTTGACTGATTTTATTACTATAAATATATTTTTTATTTATGTAATAAAAAAATAAATACACTGTTATTGTTCTTTTTAATGATATAATTTGATATATATGTACATAATTTTTGTATAAAAATACAATACATGAAGAAATGTGACAATATATTTATAAAGAAGGAAGAGATACAAAATAGTGAAATAATATAATTTCAAAGGTGTCATCAATTTTAAAATACACAATTTCAATTCACTGGTAATGTTCCATATAATACATTTTTGCGTCAACGAATGTAAAAACAACATTTAATATCATTGTACATAACATACCTTTAACTGATATTAAATTTCATCATTAGTTTAAATAAAAATAGCATTTACTAATATTTATGTTGGAAAATCATTGTTATGAAACAATTAAACAGCAGTGTATAATTATATCACTAAAAACTAAGTATTACCGTTAAATATTCCCAGATCTGATCACAAAACAGAAAAATTTGTTTCCAATAAAATATCTTCCAGTCTTTGGTACCTAGTGCTATTATTTTTATTTAAAGTATTATATAATGCTTATAAATAATATATAAATAATCTATACTGGAGGAGGGGGTGCTTTTCTATGTATTTTGTTAGAACTGGTGGCACTGCATTGCGATTCAGCAATGGATCTACCATCAGCTTCGTCTCTTCGACATAATTCCGATTCGTTTTGTATCCAATTTTGAGTTTGATCATGACTTGTTCGCGTCGATTGATTTTCTTCGTTTTCAGGAACAGAACTTACTTCTCCTAATAATTTTGATAAAGACGGTGCCAATCCTAGTCCTAAGTTTCGCTCATGATATACCTCTGAAATTGTAGGTGTTAATTCACGTGTTAGGCTTGTAAGTGACGTGGCTACGTTTCTTAAATTCTGATTATGCGTTTCTGCAGATTGCGTAGAATCCGTTTGAGCACAAATATCCTCGGTTGCTGTAGGATGACGAGGTTTCCTGGGGGAATTAGATCCAATTTCTGTTCTAACACTTAATCTTTCTAATACAGTGGCTGGTAATGGTGGCAATGGTTGTCGCCTTAAAACAGTTGCATGTCCATTATCCCAATCTGTTACTGAACTACTCGAACTAGAACCTGGTCTTATAGTTTGATCAGGGTAAAGATTTCTAATACGCGTTTGATGATTCAAATTAAGTGCTACCGGGGGACTGGGAGTGAAAGCAACATCCGATTCACCTAGAAAACATACATATTTTTTTAAGTTTTACGTTTAATACTCGTTAAAAATTAAATTTAACTTATTTATACCTCCTCCATTTTGACACGCTTGTCGTGATGTAGGAATTGGAACATTTGGCGGTTCCATAGTTTTTCCATCTGGTTCACCACGATGTCGAACATAATTTGCAAATGCGCCTCCTAGTCGAGGTCGCTCTATGACATTCTTTTCTATATGGGCAACAGAAGCTAGGCTTTCCATGGAACTACTCGAGTCTAAAGTTAGACTTTTAGGTGCTTCTTGCGTGTCTAATAACATTTTTACGAATTAAGTACATGTCACTTTACCTACAAATTTATGTAGTTAATAAATGGGCTTACCGAATAAAGCTAGAAGAGCTTGAAGAGCAAATTGGACAGCTCTTCGCGATGCTTGTTTTCCCGTTCTTAAAGTAACTTCTGATTGACCAACTTCCATGAGATCAAAGCCTAAACTTGCAAATAGTTCATGCGACCCTGATGCTCTCCACACTTGTACTGGTAATGTTACTTCTTGACCTTCTGTCGCACAAGTAGCTCTTCTCATCGCTGCAATCACATCTTCTGCTGCTTCTGGTGCCTATGTAGCATAGAATTATCTTTAGTTTAGTAAATTCTTACTTTTTATATCATATAGTAAATAGGTTTACCTGTAATAATCTAGCAAGTGCATGTAACGAAGCAGGTCCCAATCCTAGCAATGCTTGCAAACTTGCGCTACATCTTGTTAATCTTTCCTCTGGATCACTTTGGGGGAAAAATACAGAAGACGGTATCCCATTTCCAGCTGGTTCAAACCTAAATCCTACCGACATTAAAAGTTCTCGCCATCCAGTTGCTGCTCCCACTTTATTTTCAATACTACGTTGGGTTGTATACATAGCATTCTTTTGTCCACGATGTATCCGTTGCAATGATTTTTCTACCAAGTGAAGTGTCACGCGTAAAGCATCGCGACTTTGTTCTGGACCACCACGCAGTAATTCAGCAAGTGCTTGTCCCATCAAAGCAACCTGAATAAATAATAATTTATGAACCACTCTCCCATATTTATATACTTGAAATATAAATTGTTTTAACTATATACCTTGTTTGATAATCGTGCATCCCCTCCAATGAGTAACCAACCAGCCCAATTTGCGGGGTGCGCAAAATGCCTTGTATGTTGAACTGTTTGCATAGCTTCTGCTAATGCTCTAGATGCTCTGGCACCTTGTAACATAGCACTATAAAATGCTCGTAATAATATACTACCAGCCGTAGGTGGAACAGCCCACATTCCTATAAGTACACATTGCGCACCGGCATTTAATAAAGCTTTGGCTAAATTTTGCACACCATCTGATGTGGCAGTGGTATTTTCTGTACTATTCCAACCGTGGCCGCTAGATATGACAACTAAACGAGCGGCTATTCTTAATTTTAAAATATCTGAATGATTTATCAGATATTCCGGTCTTACAGAGGAGTCTTCGCATGGATCAGCAGTTAATGCTAAACTAGCAGAATTCCAAAAAACAGGCACTGTCAGGTGTACGCATTCTGCATCAGGTAAAGATCTTAAAACAGCCGATCTAGTTGCTTCTGCCCCTATTGATGACAGTAAAAAAATTAATTAATTAATCGATACTTTATTTAATAAAATAATGAACTTGTGATATTTACCAGTTAAAGCACGGGCCTCTAATAATTCAGCAACAATTTCAGATTCTGTTTCAGTAGAAGCCATACTTTCAGACCATCCATACTCTTCTCTAATTTCTTCAGGAAGTATAGGATTTCCTGCAACTAATGCAGCAACTGTTGCGCCGCCTTCTGGAATAGGAGTTTTTAACCGTTTTCTTAAAGCTGCGAGAGATGGTACAACTAATAAGGAAAATCTTTCGCACAAATAATCTTCTCCAGGATTTGATTGTAAAGCCGGAAGCGGTGCCAAATACAACGACTTCTCTACTACCATAATTAACTCCTTCCTTGCTGGTGGCAAAAGATCTTCAAATGGTGCTAAAAGTAAATCATAAAGTACTTGAATCGGTAACGGTGATTGCCACGTAGGTCCTTTTGTTCCTCGTCCCCATCGAGCACTCCCTGCTCGCGAACTAACTGATCCTACACTGAACAGACTGCTTAAACTATATGAACTAGCATTAAGATGATGTCCTCTTGATGGTATTTTTGTTTCTTCAATGAATTCACTTGTTTCCTCTAAAAGAGCTTCTCGTGCTTGCAAAACTCGTTTTTCCAATCCTATGCCATCGTCTAAAGTAGTAGAATGAAATCGTAATAGACCTCGACCAGGAGCTAAACACCAAGCATGTAACTCACATCCGACTTCACTAAAATATTATTTCAAATGTATTATTTCGAATTGTTACGTATATTTAATTTATTAATAAATTTAAATTACCTATAATATAGAATAACTCCACGTTGTCTATCAATAATTTCTGAGTAGTGTGCAGCATCATCCAAACAGTTACTTTTACAACGTCTCGATCTTTCCGCCCAATTTAAAGCTTCTTCAGCTCTATTTAAACTAATTAACACTTTTTGTAACATTCTGTAAGTTTCTGATAATAAATCAGACTTATTTGGTTGTCCACAAATAAGATTCGAGGAAATTCCATCTAACGATTCTAATAAATTTGCCGCCTTTTCTAAATGTTCTACAGCAATCGCTGCTTCGCCAGCTTCCCAATGAACAAGACCAAGCCTGTGCCTCAATCTGGCTGCTTCCTCTCTTCTTCCTAGTCCCTCAGACAATGACAATCCAGATTGCAAATAACTCAAAGCTCGTGACAAATCGCCGCACAGATGATGAAGACGTCCCAAACTGGAAAACGCAGCTGCTCTTGCAGGTTGATCTCCAGCTGCTGCTGCAAGACTCAACGATTGTTCTTGTAATCTTATTGCTTCTTCGAATTGCCCCAATGCTTCCTGAGTTACACCTAAATTTGCACAAGCCCTAGCTTGTAATCCAGCTGCATCTAAAGCTTCAGCAATTGAAAGTTCCAACTGATGATGGCGTAACGCAGAATTTGGATCATCCATTAATAAATGAACAGCTCCTAATCCACTAGCAGCCTCTGCTTCAGCAGCTTTATCTCCGAGTCCCCTGGCAAGAGCAAGTTGATGCGATAAGCAACTAACAGCCTGTTCGTGATTACCTAACGCAGCATGCACTCTACCTATAAAATTAATATTAGCGAATTCATAAGATATAAAAAGAAATTAATGCGCGTTTAAATGTTAATATATTAGTTTCTACCTAAATCTCCGTATGCTGCACCTCTTGATTCTGGGCTATCAACTTCATGCGCAGCCACTAATCTTTTTTCAAAACAAACTAAAGCTTCTTGTAGATTACCAGTTGCTTCTCGAGCTCGACCTAAACCTCGATACGCTCTTTCTTGTTCTCTTATACTTTTCAATTTTGTAGCAGCTGCCAATTGTTGTTCATGACATTTGATAGCTTCTTCTGGATCTCCCAAAGCTTCATAACAGTCTCCTAAATTCCCAAGTGCTCTAGCTTTGTTCAATAAAGCTGTACCCATCATCAATGGTTCTAAAGTTGCTAATTGTTGTTCAAAATATCCAATTGCATCTTCATAATGTGCCATATTAAGTCTAGCTATTCCTAAGTTTCCTGTTTCAAGGAGGAAAAAAAAACCAATAAATATTATATTTATAAAATCAAACTTTGTATCATAATGAAACAAAAATTTTACCTAACGCTTGTGCTTCGACTCCTGAATCCGCTAATTCTTTTGCTCTTTCAAGTTGTTCTTGATAACATTTTACTGCATGAGTGTATTGACCTAATGCCATGTGTACGGCGCCTAAATTTCCGTGAGCTCTACATTCACCACGTAGATCTCCAGCTTCTTGTCTTAAAGTTAATTCTTGAGTATGAAATCCTAATGCCTTATCAAGACTTTTTATTGTCCGGTGTGCAATACCTAAAGCTCCATAAGCAGCAGCTTCCAAACTACGATCACCTGCTTGTCGGGCTAAATTTAACTGACGTTGATGCATTTTTATCGCTTCTTCAGCTTCACCCAGACGTAAAAGACAATCACCAATATTTCCCAAAGCTCGAAATTTTCCAGCTAAGTGTTTAGTCATATGTGCAATAGCTACATACAAAAGAGAAAGTATTAAAATGTACAATATCTTGGAATTTTTACATTACCTTCTTTTAAACATAATAGTTTCTTACCTAAGTAATACTTTTGGCACTCTAATGCTGTATCTAAATTTTCCAAAGCTAAATGTGCTAATCCCAAATTACAATAAGCTCTTCCCATTCCAGATTTATCCTGTAAATCCTTAGCCAATGCCAAATCTTGATCATAATATCTAACAGCTTCACGATGATTACCTAAACAATAATGTGCATAGCCTAAGAAGTGACACGCTTTCGCTTCTCCTTCTACATCATGTAGTTCCTGCGATAGCATAAGATAATTTTCATAATATGGAACTGCTTCTTCAAATCTACCACGAGATGACAAGCAATTGGCAAGATTAAGTAAAGCACACGCTTCACCAGCTGTATCTTTTAACTCGCGTGCTATAGCTAAATGAGCTCTATAATGTCTCAATGCTGCTTCATGTCCTTGTACAGCTTGATATGCCACTGCTAAATTTCCGTGAGTACTAGCTTCTGAGCTTCGATCATTAACCTACATGAAGAAAAAAAAAATTTACAATCTTGTAATACAAGTGCGTTATTAAACTTTTTGATTTCATATTCTAAACTTACCTCTTTGCTTATTGTTAATTCCTGTTTATGATATTTAATAGCTTGTTCATAATATCCTAATGCATTATACGCATTCCCAATGTTTCCATATGCTCTACCCATCCCAGCTTTATCTCCTAATGATCTAGCAATTCCTAAGTGAGCCTGATGCAACTTAAGTGCAGCTTCATGTTCTCCAAGTAATTGATAAACAATTCCTAAATTACTACACGCTCGTCCCTCAGCTACTTTATCTTTTGTAGCTAAAGCAACATCAAGTTGTCTCTGATGCCACAATTTGGCTTGTGCAAGATCACCTAAATAAAAATACATAAGTAAATTAATTTTTTTTTTACAACTTTCTTATTACTTTTTGTGTTAAAAGAAATATTTACCTGCACATCTTGCAGCATGACCCAATCCAGCATAAGCTCTCATTTCTATTGCTCTATCACCAAGTTCTTGTGCTATTCTTAGAACATTTTCATGATATGCCATTGCCTGACCAAAATTTCTTCGATAGTGATGAGACGAACCCAAGTTGCTAAATGCTCTTGCTTCTTCTACGCGATCTCCTAAACGTCTCGCAATTCTCAAATGCTGTGTATGACAGTCAACAGCACTTTCAAATTCTCCCATTGCCAAATAAACTGCTCCCACATTACCTATTTCTCGTGCTTCTTGAAGTCGATCTCCCATTTGTTTTACTAACTGCACACATTGCTTATGAGATGCAAGTGCGTTTGGTAAATCACCAATAGCTGTATAAACGTGACCCAGGCTAGTTAAAGCGGATGCTGCAGCCTGAGTGTCTTTGCACTTCATAGCTAAAACCAACTGATACCTGTGTGCTGTTAAAGCTTCTTTAAAACTGCCCTTACTAAAGTATGCAGAACCCAAATTTCCATGAGCTCTACATTCACCCTGTGTATCTCCTAATGATCGTGCAACACCTGTAAATATTTATACTCGAAGTTTAAAATCACATTCTATTAATGTATACTTGTTCTTTTTACTTTGGTAATATTTACCTAAATCTTGTTGCATGTAATTGATAGCTTTATCCAACGAATTTAATGCCCAATATGCACTAGAAAGAGCTGAGAATACAGAACCTCTCAATTTTAAGCTACAAGAACCAATAGTGAGTGCAGCTTCTAATACACCTGCTGCTGCTTTATACTGTCCTGCTCCAAGCAGTTCTTGACCAACAACAGAGATAACAACAAAAGGAGATTCATCAAGTTTCATTGCACGTAGTTGTTGAAATGTTGGTTCTAATGTTGCACGTAATGGTGATTTTAAAGATGCTTCTACCAGACCAGATAACAGCTGACAATTAGAAGGATCATGGGCCAGACCTGTACTAAAGGCCACTAAAGCCTCTCCATGTCTCCCCAAACATTGCAATGCTACTCCTTGGCGGTAATATGCCTATTAATATAATACGTTTAATTGATTATTTAATAAATTATTTATAAAAGTGAATAAATGTACCTTTGGCCACTGAGGACTAAGTTCGGTGGCTCTGACAGCATCTTGAAGTGCAAGTGCAAATAAACCCATTTTAAGCCTAGCAGCTGACCTGTTCGAATATAGCACATGGCTGAGTGGATCCAAAGCAAGAGCTTCCGTATATAAAGTTGCAGCAAGAGCATAGTCACCATTTTGACATGCCGCATTGCTACGACGTACTGTCTCTAAGAATAGAGATCTCGATCCAGCAGCCAAGGCCGACGTACCTTCGGGCTCCACCTTAAATGTTTAAAATAAAATAATGTTTTGCATTATGTATAGCTTGTATATACAGTATATACAAAATCTACTTTATATTTTTTGACAGAACTATTTTTATTGAATATTATTACTACAGTGATTTTTATTTATAATTATATGATATAATTTATCATTATACATATGTGACAAATTTAATATTAAAGTTATAAATATTGAGATTTGTAAGACCTAAAAAAAAATATACGAAAGTACGTATAATTAAACAATTTAAGGTATAATAATAATATTCAGCAGGATATATTTCAAAAGTTCTTATTACCTCAGAGATATCCCTATGAGACATTGCTTAAGACGAGCAAGTAGCATCCTCCTGCATAAGCATTATCTGTGGCGAGGAAGCTTCATTAGATAAGACCATACATTTTACAGTATAGGGCCTTTCTAGGACTTCCCGTATCACCTTCCTTTTCCTCATTTACATTTATTCTTCACAGGGTATTGTTTTTGAACTTAAACGACACTCATTGGATACACATTGACATAATTACTTCGCCTAGTAATCAAAGTATTCGTTAGGATAGGTGAAATAGTTTAATAAAAAAAAGGAGGGAGGAAGGCGTCTTAGGAGGGCACCCACTGCATTCCTCAGACACAGCCATCTTGGAATGCGACCCCGAGTCCCCCCTTGAACCCAGAGTGGGGCCGGCACTGCCTGCTTCTGTACTCCTTGCAGATTGGGCCTTACATGTATAGCTTATAAAATCTACACTCTGACATATGTGTGTACGTGTGTCTATGTATGTATGTATATAAGTACACGCACAGAAATAAAAGCATGCATATTTTAAATAAACATATTAAATTTACTTTACAGGTTTTTTTATAAATATGTCATTTCAATAATACATACTGAATGTCATGTAACATAAATATATTTTATCAATATCAAAACAAAACAATATAAGGTGCTGCAAACAATAATACAAAATTTGTTTAATTAGAATTAATCCTAGTACATTATTTGTAAAGTTATAACAGGTAGCAAGGACCCTGTCTTAATTGTTTTACTTTTGAATATATGTATATAAAAATGTAAATTATTTTTTAATAAAGATATTTAAATGAAAATAGCATTATAGATTTTAATAGGGTTTTTTTGTAAACATATTTAAAAACAGCACTATAAAATTATATATTTTGATGTATAAATAATACAAATTGTTTTGAACAATAGTTTTCAGTAGTTTAAGTAATAAAATAGATATCTGTATTTATTACAAAATTACAAAATTTTGTATGCAGAACTTTTACATGTCAATTTCTATATGAATGTCACAGCCATTGTAATTAACTTTTTATACTTGATGAAAGATAAAGAATAGTATCTGAGCGAAGATTATCATGTTTATCGAAATGTGTACATTATATGTAACTTATGTCAGTAAATAATGCTTTATGGCCTTTGATGTTACCTAGTAATGCACTGTAATCGTAAAAAAAATAATACAAATCTATTTTCCTTCGCTCAGGTAATAAATAGTTTTTATTTTGTACCAAAACTGTACATTATGTTCAGAATAGATGATATACATTTATATATACAAGATTTATGCATATCACGTACAAATCATTTTCATATAAACATTTATTCGAAGATTCGAATGTATAGGAATGTTAAGTATTCAATAATATTTTAAACAATATTAATGATAACTGATGCATGATCAGCAAAAATAATATTTCTAGGCACAATTGAATTGGTTGTGAATTGAATTCACATTAGTATTTTCCACTTGTGCATAAATTTTATGTTAAATAAAAATGTACATAAAAAAATATATGTATAATGGAATTTGTGCTCTATCCAACTGTAGCTTTCAATATTGATACTAATTTTATGTTCTTTAGTTTATATTAAAATTCCTATTATAATAGCACATTTAAAATGAGATATAATTTTAAAAACATATCATTACAAATATAATGTACAAATGCATCTATTAAATTATGAAAGCTACATTGGCATGGATATTTTTAAATAATATAATTATAAAAATAATTTTTAAGGCCAGACTCGATTAAATATTTCCATAAAGGAATCATAAATCATAAATGTTATTCCAACATCTAAACATACTCTACTTAATCTTGGAATGGTTCCTTTATAAAATGCACTTGGGCCCTCATTCTTCCATATTTGAATCATACAGTCTACACTATTTTTGTACTTTGAGGCTTCTAAGCCCTAAAAACATGGATTTAAATTTAATAATTTATGCTTAAACAGAAAATGATAATTTTATAGAAGATGAAAGGTAGATAAAGCTCATACCTGCATTCGAGTCTTTATAACATCAATTGGAGTATTTCCAAACACTGATAATGCCCCAGCACATGCACCAAATGCACCCACAACCAATTTTGGTATAGGTACATTTTTGTCTCCACCTCTGTACCAATCCTTTAATGTTTCCATAACACAAAATCTGATTGCTTGATTTGATCCTTGTTTGATGATAGTAGGCGTTAAACCTTGATATACACCTCTAATTCCTAAATAAAAAATTATAAATTTAAATAGCTATAAGTAGCCTATAATTTTACATAATTTAATCAATATTATACACCAAGATCTTTAAACAAATTTATAACAAAGTTTGATTAAACGATACAGAAGTAAGATGCTTATTATTACATTCTGGCATGTGTAAACTGAGAACCCTTGAAATATGAGTAGACTGTTTGCATGAAATTGATTAGGTTCATAGTTCAAAGCAAACTTACTACTTTCAAGGCAAACAACTGCATAATTAAATTTCTAATTCCTATTGCATCACTATACTCAAATTAAAACATATATATTCAATAAATTTATATTTGCAAACTATTTTATGTACATATAATTTGTTTCATTTAAAAAATTATCAATATTCTACTTACCATATTCTTTGGTAATCAATCTTACTCCATGAAAGAATCCTTTGTATTTTGGATTAACTGACCGTTGGTCATTAATAAATTTGACTTTAATAGTTTCCATAGGAGTAACAGCAAAAATAGCTTCAGACGCGCCAGCACATAATCCTGCTAAGAAACTTCTTTGTGTACTAAGATTTCCATTTTCATCCACTAATACACCCTTTATTGTTTCAAAGGATCCAAAACGTACAGCTGATTTTGGTATTGAACCATAAAGTAACACCGAAAGGCCCCTGTACAGGCCAAAAAATCCTCTATTTTTTACAGTTTTTGTTATACAGTCCCATATTCCCGAATATTCTTTACCAGCTCCAGCTTTTCCATCAAGTTGTAGTTGCGTTTTCACATATTCAGTTGGATATGTAATACATATTTCTATTCCTCCAGTAATACCACCTAAGACATAAATTCATATTATTACTTTATTATGAAATTTTTATTATATGTTCAAATAAAAAATAGGTAAACGATTTCATTCACAAATGAGAAAAAAAAAACCATTTTGAACTCGCGTTTTCAAGGTTAAACACACTTCAACCTTTGATACTATCATACGTTGAATGTGCTGACTCAAGTTTATCACTTTTTCTCTCTTTCCTTTTTAATGCTTTTACTTGTTTATACTTCTTTGTCACTCTTAGTTAAGGTATCTGCACTCTATCGGTTTATTTTAATAGTAGCCACAGAACACTGAGCATATATAATAAATGTAATACTAATTTTAATAAATGTTACAAAGAAAAAAGTATATACCAGCTATTATTCCTTTAACACCAAGACTACTACCGGCAGCCGCTGCAGCTCCATTATCAATAAGCCACGGTCTAGAAGGAAAAGGATTATTACGGAATGTCGAAATTGTACTTGATTGTTGCGACGATTTGCGCATCAAGGAACAAATATCCATCTTTTAAATTTGATTCCGTCTGTCGGTAGTCTTAAGGCGTTAAACGTTGAATCTAGACTGGAGTCGATTAATATCTGAACGTTCCGATGCGCGTAGCAAGTTCCCCTTCCTCAAAAATTTCTTTTACTCACACTTACTTTTTTCGGTTGAGAATTGTAAAATGTAACTTGATATTATACGTATAAAAATAATCAAAGGGTTGACGATGGGTGGCATGATCAAAATTTGGCGCATTAATAATATATTTTCCTTCATCAATTTAATAGCAATGTATATTTGATAAATTCTACACAAGATAAAATATGAATAATTCAATTTGTTTATCTAATAACGTTTGTTTGCATTGCACCCGATTATTGTAAATTTCATTTTGGTATTGACTGTTTTATTTAATTAAAGTTATAAGAACTACTGTGAAATTTTTAATATTTTTCAAACATTTGTTTATAATTTTGTTACTTTTTAACAAATATTAAATTACCAAGTGCTAAATAAATTTTTTGTAATTAAACATATAATAGAATGGCATGGTAAAATAAAATAAAAATAAAAATTTATGCTTAATCATCTATTTAGTCAAATACTGTATATCATAATTTATTTTATAAATTCAAAGAAATACGAATTAATTTAGATTTGTTTCTTATTAGATTAGCTACTTACTAAACACGAATGGAATCATATTACAAATTTCTTATCATTACTGGAAATATTTCGTTACACGATCACGTGAATTATATTTCATAAACAGTTAAAATAAAATATACTATCAGAAACCTTTTTATTTGTGATGTTATGTAATTGAATGTATAATAAGTGAGTGAGTACATAAAAATAGAAAATGATTATAAAATGATAAGTGATAGTTTTTTATCATAGGTAAAATTTTTATACTGGTTTGTTAAATATGTATTAAAGTACATTTTATTTTCTGCTTAAATCTTAACAAAAAGGCTATTATTATATTCATAATTTTAAAAAATCTAAAAATGGTCAAAGTGAATATCTCTTAAACACATCCACGTAAAATTTTGCTACTGTTATCAGCATAATATACCAATGCAATTTACACATTTTACCATCCAGGTGTAGTATTTGCTAAACGCCTCATACGTCTGAAACAAAACCGAACAATATAATAATAACTTTATAATTAACTGAATTTAATTGACATTTATATAAAATTTATGCAAATACTGATATAATATAGAAACTTTACCTTGTATTTCGATCTTGATCGCGTATTTTCTTTTCCATTTCTGCATCTGTTAATGTTTCTAAAAATGGTGCCCACTGATCAGCTTCTGAAGGTGGTCTAAAAGGTACTTCTACTGTAGGTAAAGGGGCTTCAGAAAATGCGTAAGTTCTTTGGTGCCATGATAATTGTCCACGAACACTAAAAATAAATTTAATTGTTAAATATATATAATTTAATTATTTTTATTGAAATATTTTCAAAATACATGAAGATTAATTGTTTACATTTACCTATAAGCAATAGCAGTAACAAACTCTCCACCAAGTCCTAATTCAGCACAAAGCTTCATTGCAAACTTTTCAGGATTATTTTCTTTTTCAGACATATCCCACTCCACTTGATCTACCAAGGAAGTATTTCCTACATGTATGTTTAATTTAATTATAACTCGTTGATCACATTGATCTTCTAAAATAGTTTCTTGTGGAAAAGCTTCAATTTGTTGTCTTATAGCTTGTGCAATAGCTGGTACAAAAGTTAATGGATTTAAATCTAGATCATCACATAATACTTCAGCAAACTGTTCTGGTGTTATAAGACTTTCTGAAATAAAAGAGAACTACTTTATTATATACGTTTCAAAGTAAGCATATTCCAATGTAAACTATATGTATATACTATGTATATAATTATATTAGATGAATGAACATACCATTTTTATTCCATGTGAAAGTATCTCGTAATTTTTGTCCTTCAATTTCCATATCTAAACGAATTGGAACTAACATTTCCTGTTGTGCTGCATTTTCTAAATTTGCTGATGGATCTGTATCATCAAAACTAAAAAATAATTGTAGATATATGTAATAATTGTTACTTTAGCATTGATTTTTATCTTAAAGTAAGTATTTAATTTCATCTGTTAACATTTACCATAAAGGAAACGTTCTGACTTTTTTATTATGTACTCTGTTGCGATTAATTGGTGTAGCTTGAGGAACTGCATCTAAATGTGAACTATTTGGTAAGCTAGGTACCCAAGGCATTGACTTCTTTGATTTCCCTTCTCTAGGAGCTGGAGGTTCTGTTGAATGCACCGATACAGCTTTGTATTTATCATCATTGCCTTCAATAATATCTTCTACTTCGCTAGCCCTTAAGAGTGATACGCTAGATGCAAGTACATGTTGACTTAGTCCAAGTTCTACTAGCTTTTTACGTTCATCATTTGTAATAGATCTTCTAAACATTCCAGGATAACGTTTATACAATGATCCCCGAAATAGGCGTAAATAATTGCCCACTTCAGATCCAATACAATAATATTCTCCATTTTCTTCCACTTGGAAACTTATAGGTTTATCACCATACGTACGTAAAGCCATGCTTGTTTTTCTATAAATACATAATACTTACATATAATATAAATACATTAGTAAAGATCAATTCAATGAACAGTTTGTGTATAACTTACTTTATAACCATAGTTTATAATAACAATGATTTGAGTAGTTTATAATATGATGCTGCTTAACACCACTACCATTATTTACATGTTTTTTTTAATTTACCTACCTGTTTTATTACTTATTTATCACTTTATTTATTTGTCACACTTTTATTAATATCAACATTTTCATAAACTCAGTTCGAATGTTCGAGTAAACAATACCTGGTTAAAACTAGGACCCTATTAAATAATTTATACAGAGGAAGCTTAGTTTTTGCTCGGTACTGTATCTGTTTGTATATGTATGGAGCGGTTTCGTTTCACAAAAATATGCTCTATTCTTATATTCTTAACTCCATGGTATAAATGTAACAAATGAAATTTATTTTTATAAAATATTTAAAAACTGTATATATACATAAACAAAAGTTATATTTACTTAATTTTAAATAAATTCTTGTATATTCAGTTTTATTTAATATAAATTTATAATATTCAAAAATATTTAGTGGCGCTGTAATCAAAAGTAAATATTAAAGCGAAAGCGTATCTATTATACCTGTAATTTAGGATTGTAAAACTTCATAAGCCATTTTGTGCATTGTTCAAGCAGCTGTGTGAAAGTATTGCTTATCATTTCGTTTTGAGATGTCAAAACTTGGTTAATTACCATTGTCGAGTATACGAGTTTTGACGGAAACGTGTGATTATCAAAAAACGACAATTTCAAAGCATTATTGTATACGTAATTGAAAAAGTCTTCTACAGATTTTGTATAACAAAGAACTTTCAATATCTTTTATTAACCTTGGCCTGATCGTCATAACAGTAAGTATCGTCTTCAGAAAAAGTTAAAAATAGTTCGGTTTAGTGAAAAGACTGCTTATGTTTATGAAATAGTATATCAGATCGAAATTTTTGTTTTCTACAAAATATATGAAATGTTATGACATAGCTATTAATTTTACGTTTTATAAAATTAAGAGAGTTCCAATTTCTCAAGTAACTTAAGTATAACATTTGATAAATTGGTATTAGAAATTAGACGCAATTACTAACGTTTTCTAATACAAGCAAAAAAGAAAGCAGTAATAAGTCATGTATATACTGTGTCTATAAGCTCCTGGTAACCTATCACTTTCAGATCATGATTGAATAAAAATGAAAGCATTGTGCAAAACTAAACCAAACCACGTAATTTGTATGGATTAGGTTATTTCATTTTATAGGATTTTATGAATGATTTTGATGTACCTAAAGTTGAGATATTGGATCGAATAACAATGTAAAATGTATAATATGATGCATCTGCCTTTTGTTGGTACATTATATTAAGAAGTGTGTTGATCCTGTGTATTATTGTGGTTAGTATTACAATACTTATTAGATATATGTGTTACTAAAATAAAATTCAGTTAATGTTTTATGTATCGTCAAATATTGTTAATATTTAAATATAAATGTTAACAGAAATATATAAAAATTTCTTTAATTTTGTTAGAATAAAGCATGTAGAACAGAACTGCATAACTTCTTATTTGTGAGTAATGTGCCTTTTAAGTTATCTCTTATTGTGGGGCTCCGATTGATTTGATAGCTTTTTGTTTATCTGTGTAACAGCAAAAGACAAAAAGAAAAAATAGAAAGAACATAATACTGTGGTGTTTCAGATATTATGAGCCCCATAATAGATAATTCAAAAGAAATGATATTGCTTCTGAACCAGAAATTATGCAACTCTGATATAGAAAAATAATAATAATATTTTAAATAATTGATATTGTAAAGATTTTTTGATTAGAGATAAATAAAAATTTACCTTACTATTTATTATGTTTTATATTAATTTTGTAAAAATGAGTAAATTTTTTTACATTGAAGTTGTAAAATGTTAAAGTTTTTAATGAAACAAACTTTGATTTATAATATTTATGATTTCAGTACACATTATTTTGGCAATTTAACTTATCATAATGAATAACGAACATCAAAATATTGAAGATATGGAGTCATTGCCAGCAGTTTCATCTGATCTTCCAAATTTTAGTAATCCGTGTGTGAATACATGGATAGAAAAAATGAATAAAGGAGTGTTATCGTGTAATCATTTTAAGGAACATTGGAGAATTTGGGTTCCAAAAATATATAGTCCAGAACCGGATAGTAATTGCTTAGACTGGAATTTTGATGAGGAGAAGGCACAAAAAATACTTTATAATACCTTAGAAGAATTTATTTGTAACGGAGATCCGCAGGTAGTACTAAAACAGATAAGTCAAACGGATAATGTGATATGCGGTAAAGTATTCAAAATGGGAGAAGCTACATACAGCTGCAGAGAATGCGGCGTGGATTCAACATGTGTCTTGTGCGTGGATTGTTTCAAGCAATCAGCTCATCGTAATCATAAGTATAGAATGGGCACTTCTTGCGGTGGTGGATGTTGCGATTGTGGAGATATAGAAGCTTGGAAAAAAGAACCATTTTGTAATATACATTTAGCTGGAATTCAGGCTAAAGAAGCTCGTGGAAATAAATTACCTGGAGATATAGCAGAAAGAGCAGTGGTAGCTTTTGAAGCAGTATTAAGGTACTGCTATGAAATATTGTCTTTAGAACATACACCAGGATTACCTGCTGATTTATGTGTTAAAGAAACTGATGATAATCCTTTGTCACTACCATCGACTTCGGATCATTATTGTACAGTTCTTTTTAACGATGAAACTCATACGTTCGATCAAGTAATTGCTACCCTAACACGTGTTATGAATTGCTCCCAAAGAGACGCATTAGAATTTGTAACAAGCGTCGATAGAGATGGTAGAGCTGTTGTTGAATGCTCAGATTTTCAACGTTGTAAGGATTTAAAAAATGATATCGAAAAATTTACTTCAAGACATAATAATCGAGCGTTAAAAGTACTCGTAGTTCATGTTCATGTAATTGCTCATCAAATATTTGCTATGAAACTTTTGCATTGGTTACAACAATTTATAAGTCCTTGTGAGGGATTCAGAGTGCTTTTCAGTAACGTTGCACTCAATACAAAATTACCAGTTATTTCTATCGTGGAAGGCATACTTATGAGAGATTCACAATTATGGAAATCCGCAAGAACCGCTTGGCATAGATTATTAATGTCGGGAATGCTTATGGAATATGAAAGCAAGAAAGCTTTTGCAATTGTGTTTACTTATAATTATGGTTCTGTTATGAAAGATTACATCAGAGATGATCACGATCATTCATTCTCTATTGTTTCTTTCTCTGTACAATTATTTACAGTTCCAACATTGGCGCATCATTTAATTGCCCATCACGACGTATTGTTCATCTTGTTAAATACATTTATTTCGGAAAGTTCACGTAAATGTAACGCAGCAGGAAAATTAGAATTTGAAAGAGATACTCCTAATACTACTTTTAAAAGAGCTCTATACATGCTTCAGGATCTACGATATTTACTGAGTTACAAACCAGATGTTTGGACGGATGAATTAAGAAAAAGTTTTTTACAAGGACTTTCACTTTTACTCACGTTGCTTAGCAGTATGCAATGTATGGATGCTGTAGTGAGACAAGTTGGTCAGCATATGGAATACGAACCTGAATGGGAATCTGCATTCAATTTACACATTAGATTATCTCCAGTTATTAGTCTGGCACTACAGTGGTGTGGTTCAGATCAAATTGTTTTGATAAAGGCTTTTAGACTGGTTCTAAGAAGATTATATGAACAACCAGGACACGAGATCGGACCCCCTCAAGTGCGAGAGTTAGCGGATCACAGTGCAACATGTCTTCAGTATGATGTATCTTCTGAACCAGTATCTATACATCTACCACTTTCCAGATTTTTAGCTGGTCTTTTTCCATATCTTGAGAAACATGATTTACATTTTCAATGCGCAGAATTTATAAATCATACAAAACCTACATTGGAGCAAATTATTGAACCTGTACTAGCTACTCAAGTAATGATTGCACAAGTACATAGCGGTATGTGGAAAAGGAATGGATATTCTTTATTAAATCAGTTATATTTCTATCATAATGTTAAGTGCCGTTCTGAAATGCTGGATAAAGATATTATTTTACTTCAAGCTGGAGCATCTTTGATAGAAAGCAATGAATTTTTAATTCACGTTTTAAACAAATTTAATCTTCTACAGTGGGCTAGTCCAGATTTTGATGTCAATGCTGTGAAATATCTTGAAGATGAGAGTATTAGACAAACTTTAGTTGAAGAATTTTTAGGATTACTTATTACAATAATTGGAGAAAGATACGTACTTGGAGTTGGACAGGTTACTCCTGATGATATCTTGAAAAAAGAAATAATTCAACAATTATGTATTAAACCTCTTTCTCACTCTGAGCTTACTAAAACATTGTCGGACGATACACATTGGGAAACTGAAATGGAAAAAGTAATACATGATGTTGCAGATTTCAAAAAACCTTCAGGAGCATCAGGAGCAAAAGGAGTGTACGAATTAAAACCTCATTTATATTCAGAATATAATGTATTCTTTTATCATTACACAAAAGAAGAAGTAAGTAACTCTGAAGAGACACAAAGAAAACGAAGGAAAGCATTAGGAGAATTGGAGTGTTGCCCACCTCCTAAGTTACCTAAATTGACAGAGGTATTTAGTTTAGTTACTAATTTATTGCAATGTGATGTCATATTACATATAATGAAAATTGTATTAGAGAGAGCACTTAATTGTAGACCTCGTAGATTCTCAGAATCTCAGATACATAAAATTTTACATCTTATCGGATATGCTTTACAAGAACAAGAATCTGGTTACTACCCCTTCTTTGCTTTTACGGCAAGAGCTGCTAAATGGAACATTTGCAAATTGTTGGAAGATTTATCTAATAGTCCACGCGTAGAGGCATACAAAGATTTATTAACTTGGGTATTAACAAAATACAGGGAAGTCGCTGGTTATACATCAATGGAAGTTACTACAGCTGCTGCACTCTGTACAGAAGCTACAACTGAAAACGTTGAAAGTGATAAAGAATGGAGAACCAAAATGGCAGCAGAAAAGCGTGCAAGAATAATGGCACAAATGGCTGCTATGCAGAAACATTTTATGAAAGAGAATGCTGAACTTTTTGAAGAAGCTTCTTTAGATGTGAATAAATCTAATGACCGAGATTCTAGTATTAATTTAAGCGAATGTTCTCAAAAAACACCTGTTGCTGTTGGTATTGGACAGCCAGCAAGAATGTCTGAAGAAGAAACTTATAAAACTTGTATTTTGTGTCAAGAAAATCAAGCTGTAACAGCGACTGGACCAGCAATGGTATTA